CGCCTCCGTGTACGGGTTTCCTGGGCGTCAGGTACGGTTGTTCAGTCAGGCGACTCGGAGCTGAAGTGATGTGTGAGGTGAAGTCTTGAGTTCGGATAGAAGTGTGGCCCGAACTGCCCCTGGGTGGGTAGTTCGGGTTTTTGCCTTTTGTGTTCCTTGTAAGGCTTAGGACCTTGAAGGGAGAGCTCGGGTTGTAGGTTCCTTTTTTGGGGGAGCTCGAGGCCCGGGCTGTTGGTTTCCTTTTTTGGGGGAGCTCGGGACTCTTTAGCCCGGGGCCCGGGTTGTGGGCCCGTTGCCATGCCGAGCTGACGCTTTTGCCAGGTCACTCTCGGTTGGTTCCACGTGTCGCATGGCCAAGGGGTCGGGTCAAATCTTCCTCCATCATTAGCTTTACCACCAACCAAGGAAACTTCCATCTCGGTGTCTGAGTCACCTGCCAAGCGAGAGCCGTCAGATAGTACAAAATCACAATTCTCGACGGAGAACCTCTACCTCCAAGTTCATTAATGGAAAAAACACTTAATCAAAAACAAAACAAGCAAAGACTGCATGCTGATAAAAGGATGATGCAAGAAGCTAATAAGGAGATGCTTAGAAACATATGGTGGGGTGCAGAATCAACCGTGCATATGAATGATTTGGGAAACCAAATCTAAGTTAGGTAGAGATTAAGTGAGGAGAAATAGAGGGGAGTTGGAGATCATTTAGAAGTTATAAGTCATGAGTGTAAAATAATTGGGTCTCTGTGAAGAAAAAAACAAGGATGCTGAGGTGGCAAGTTGAGAGTGTTAAAAATGGTATTTTGAAGAGAGAGAGGCAACGAAGGAGAAGCCTCGATAGGGTAAGGGGAGAAAATGAGAGTCCATCTGACTGGCCTATCTTTTAGTAAATAAATTGGATTATAATTCCAATATAATCCTAAACAAAAATGAAATTTAAATTCAATACCATCATTGAGTCACTAATTAATCATCCCAATCTGATATATATATATATATATATATATATATTAAGCTATTACTTCACTGCCATGCCACAATTATCTCATCTTAACAGTAGTTAAGGCTCATTTTTATGTTAGAGTGTAAAACCTTATATTTTGTATTGTTTTGTATATATTTGTATTGTATATATTTATATTTGTATTTTTTTCCAAACTGAGTCTAAGGGAAGCATTGCAGAAGATAACCACACCATCAAGCTCATTTACTTTTAAAGAAACCTATCATGATTATACTCCCCCTTCCAGATCTACAATTTAATAGTTGTCACACGCAAGAAATTGGATGAGGAAATTTATAATGCATTTCTTTTAGTTATTTATTTAGGGTCTGTTTGATTCATAGTCGGAATTGGAATGGTCCATTCCTATAGTCTGTTTGGTTTAGACAGGAATGGAATGAGAATTAAAATCAGCAGGAATGGGATTTCATTCCTAAGGGAGGGGCGAGGAATGGCCATTCCCTCAAATGGGGGAATGCCATTCCAACAGGAATGGAAATGAGATTCTGATTCTGCCCAACTAAACAGTTGAAATGGTAATAGCCCATTCCGATTCCGATTCCAGACCCCTATTCCTGCAAATCAAACAAACCCTTAATTTTTATTTTTACTGCTCATTTTATTAGGTTTCGTATGGGACTTCTTTTAGATGTCCTTAACATCACAGCTGAATCAAGATCAGTGATTTTTTTATAAAATATTTTCTTGTTTTTTCACAAAGTTTTATATATGTTAGTATACGTGGCCATTACGTGACCTGTTCTTGACCAGTAGAGACCTATTTGATGTTAATAATTTAATGAAGGACGTAGTTAAAAGTAAGCAAAAAAATGGAAAAGAAATCATCCATGAAGAAGAGTGAAATTTAATTGGGCCTTGAGACTCTCACATCCTAGTTTTGTATCTTCTTGTAATGCTCTGCAGAGATGAAATAGGTATAATATCGTCCATGTTCCACAGTGTTGATCCTTAATTTCTTGTGGGCTGTATTGATCTGAACCAGGAAATTGGGTTTTTCTTCAACTGGAAAGCCTGCTTGGTATATGCTTGGGTTTCAATATTAAGTCCATGAGAAGTGAAGGCAGTAAACCTCAGCTCAACCCGACTGCCTTAGCACCACATTTGTACTATCACAGGCCAAAATCTTCTACACTCTTTATATGATATACAGAATGGGCCAAGTCCATTAACCTTGTTTGTGTTCATCCACTCTTTTTCTTTTGCTGCAAGAATGTGTTCCACTTGATAGAGTTAAATAGGCTCTGACTGAGGTGCTGTTTAGTATCGTGGCTGTTTATTTTGAAAAATGTTTTGTATTTTTTTATTTCAAAAAACGAGAAAATGGATGATAAACGTTTATCTAGTGTTGTTTGACAATTAGATGCCATTAGATGCCACATAAGTTTAATGGTAAAAGGCTGGGTGTTGGAGAAAATATTAAAATGGTGTTTCATCCAACAGTTGCCTCTCATACAAACCAAGAAAATGTTTCTTTAATAAGAAATCTTACCAAATAATGGTGTTTCCCCCAATGTTTTATCTGGTGATGACCTGACACCATTTTTTTTTCAAATAAATGGCCACAAAACCAAACACAATCCGAGAATAATCTTAAGCTATAAAAGCTCTAGGCTCTGGTCTATCGATCAACTTAGCCACACCTCAATTATTCTTCAACAACATCAGTCTTTGTAGAAAAAGAAAAAGAATGCATGCTACATGCTAGAAAAAAATTAATTTATACAACTCTTTGGATGCTTCTCCCTACGGACAAAATGGAGGTTGATCTTTCATGGGCCCCATACTTTTGTAAGCCAGTGAAGGATTGATCAAAGGGTTGCATGGATTTGTTATTTATAGACGTGGCAATTGGGTTGGGTCAAGATACTTCAGTTTCATTTTGGGCCGGGATGAATGGGTTGGGTGAACAAATGATAGACTCTAACCCTAAATGTTCAGGTTAGGGTTGACCCACGGGTCGATTGTGTCATTCCTAAAAATGTATGAAAATTTAAAAAGATAAAGAAAAAATACATGAAAATGCCAAACTTAAAGGAATTAACCTTAAAATTCCAAATATAAAATAAAATTCTTGAACATTCAATAATTCAAAGAGTAAATGATAAAAAGTAAAGTAAAGATTAAAGAATGGAAACTTCTAACAATATATAAATAATTGCAATTCGACTTGACAAATCAGATTAGCGAGTTGACCCATGATCCAACACGACCCAATCAGCCAATTTTTCCGAATTGAATCAGGTTGGGTCATTCTCAAATTTAGGTAACTAGATATGAGACCCTAACCCTGTTTTTTTTTTTTTCGGGTTGTGTCAACCTTTTGCAAGGTCTAGCTATTTATTAAAATTCCTCAAGAAAAAAGAGTGGGATACACATAAAAGGGATTAGAATTCATTTCGTGTAGCTTACCCACGTATAGTTGGGACAAGACTTAATAGAGCACATGAGCTATGTATGAGAGATGCGAGAGATGTGATGAATACAGTGGGGAGAGGAGGAAAAAATAATTCAAAATTTGAGAGTGACTTCATTGAGGGGAGACCATGGCAAGTTGGCTTTCAGCTTTCAGCTTTCAGCTTCTCTCCATTCTCTATCAAACCAAATAGATTGGGCTAGGGTTGATTTTTCATAAAAATAATCCAACTAAGCCAACGCGACCCAGCTTTCTCTCGTGTTCCCTATCAAGCCAAATACAGCCGTTGGATTGGGTTAGGGTTGATTTTTCATTAATCCAACTAAGTCAACGCGGCCGGCGGCCCAGCCTGCATCTCTCTCTCCAAATGACAATTTTTTTATTATTTTTTTCGTTTAGAAATTTTGTATCAGAAGAAACACTTGGGCCTTTTGAGGAATGCCACGTGGATTTAACAACAGGATTCTTATTTGGGATTTCCTTCTAACAAACTGTCCCAAGTCCCAACCAACACTCTTCCACCGTGATCCATGTCGGGACATCTTCCTATAAAATTGAGACCCACCATATATCATATATGATATGTGCGAACAAGATTATTTTTGATAGAATGTGTGGACACAGATCCGAAAGGTTTTATGGGTAAATTGTCAAAACATCACTGAAGTTTTTAATTGTTACTTTCCTGAAGTTTGATAATTGCAGTCTTTTATTTTATTTGAATTTTTTGATATAGTTGCATGTGGTAGGGGTAAGTACTATTCGGTTAAAATTGAAAAATTGAATTCGAAATTTCAGTTTTATTTTTTTTTGGTTTTAGGTTAAATTAGTTTAATTAATTCAATTTTTTGTTTCAATTTTTTGAATTAGAAATTCAGTTAGCCAAATGAATCAAATTTTCTATTATAATATATAATATATAATATATTTATATATTAATAAATAGTAAAAAGAAATTCGATTTTATAATATATATATATTTTATAATATGTAATATATGTTATATGTTATAATATATATAATAGAGTATATATTATTCAAATTCGGTTTTAACTGAAATAAGCGAAAACCAAACTGAAAAATTTGGTTTTGGTTATTTTGATTTTTTTATAATTTGGTTTTGGTTTCGACTTTTATTTTTTAAAATTTTGATTTGTTCAGTTCAATTTTTAACTGAATAAATTGGATGTTCACCCCTAGCAAATATATCAAATTTCTTAAAATACCTATATAGTTACTTTTGACTATAGTGCTTATTTTTCCAATTTCTCTTCATATAAATCGTTAGTCCAAATCTGTTCAATCTCTTTTTGAAATTGATTTATTTTTCAAATTTATCTTTTATATCAATGAAATGTAAAACTTGCAACTAAATTTTCTATTTTTTTGTTTTTAATAAAGTTTGTATTGTTTTTTTCTAGAAATGAACCTCAAGAGTAATTGCAGATGTCTTCATAGAGGATTCTAAAGGAGGAGTCTACTTGCAAATTGCAATCATCAAAGGGAGGTTTCAGCAGTGGTTAAAAACTTTAGAGAGATTTCAGTAATTTACCCTTTTTTTTTTTGTGTGTTGGGAGGAGATCCAAACTGCCGCACTCCTCTGTTTTACAACGGCCCGGATGACCGATCTCGCGAATGAGAGAATAAAAGGGTAAATCTTTGGCCGAGGAGCGAAAAATCGGTGTTCATCGAAACCCAGAAAAACAAAAGAAAATGGCACTTCAGTGTGTTCCCTCTGTTTCATCAGCTTCCCTTATTCATCGACTCCCTGCAACCCGTTCTTCCATGGCTATAGCGGGTTTTCTCTCTCGCCTATCCAAATACCAAACCCCATTCTCTCTTTTGAAACTAAGCAGAAGCTTTGGTTTCATCTCAGTTCCTGAAACGAGGAAGCCATACAATAATTTATTTCAAGGTATGCATTCCATTATAATTCATTCCTCAATTTATCATTTACAAGTTTATTTTTTCCCTTGTGGTATATCTTTTACTGGGATTTGTGGTGGAGCATAATTGCAGCAGTGGCTGTTCTAGTAGTTCAACAAGTAATTATCTTTTCATTTTTCAGTGGGTCTTATTTATTTTTCGGATTAAGAAGTTGGGATACTTTAACACAGTAGTTTTTATACTGGGGCAATGGAAAAAGAGCAAAATACGAACACCGAAGTAGAAAAAAAAGAACCACTCGGATACTTTGGGAGCAATACATTCATTAATTTTCTACTATTTACAATGGAGACAGCTAGCAGATGAGGATATAATTGATTGAATATCAAGTGAAGATTAAACGGAGAGATATTTCAAGTTTCTGCAGGGATTTTTAATTCCAGCCTTTTGTAAAAGGAAAAAAAAGTTTTGAGAGATAAGCTACGCTATGCTTTGCCCATTAGTCTAAATTTTTGTCTAGGAACTGGTAATACGAAATAGAATGACATGATTATCAGTTTCTCTTCAAATATATTTGCAGTGAGGTCGGTTGCTGCGCCTGCCGAAGCTGCTGCTGGATTTGATGAAATGGCTGCTGGAACAAAGCGGAAGTATTATATGTTAGGTGGGAAAGGAGGTGTTGGGAAGACAAGTTGTGCTGCATCCCTCGCTGTAAAATTTGCAAACCATGGGCACCCCACCATCGTAGTCTCAACTGATCCAGCACACTCATTGAGTGACTCTTTTGCTCAGGTAGAAAGAATAATACCTATTTATTTAGTCATGGACGTATTGTGGCAAGATTTATATCATCGATTGCATTTTCATGCGTTGTCACTAGAACTTGACTGGAGGGATGCTAGTACCAGTTGAAGGACCAGATTCTCCACTCTTTGCACTTGAGGTGTGTTGCTGACCCTTCATTAATTTAGATTCTTTCCCTTAAATAGAGATTGCTTGGAGCATGCATTTATCTAGAAGCACGTGTAACAGATAAATCCTGAGAAAGCCAGGGAGGAATTTCGTAGTGCAAGTCAGAAAAATGGTGGCACTGGAGTCAAAGACTTTATGGATAGCATGGGACTTGGAATGCTTGTTGAACAGGTAAATTTCTGGATATAATTATTAGATGATTGAAAAAAAAAGAAGAAGCATCAGCCTCCTGAGTGACCTTATATTCAAGTCTCAACTAGTAAGTGTCCTAGAGGATGTGGGTATTTTTCTAGGGTGATCAACCAAGTGAAATCAATATAACCCAGTTCCCAATTACTAGATGCTTTTTTTATTTCCTTAAGATGTTCCAATATAACATTGGAAGATGGGACACGGGAATTGGATTTCATCCTGTACAGCGCTTTCAAACCTCTCATGGGGAAATGCTAACAATCCATTATCATACTTGTTTCTTCTAGACTGTAATCTATTGAAGTATGAATAGTAATTGCATGTAATGTCCTTTTTGAATATCCTCCCTGAGATATAGAGTTGTTCTTTAACTGTGGATGTTGGTTTTATCTATTTATGTATTTTGATTAGCATTTTTCTTTATGATATCATCTTTGTAATTTCTTTTCTATTAATTGATCAAAAGCTAGGGGAATTAAAACTGGGGGAGTTGCTGGATACACCTCCTCCTGGTCTGGATGAAGCTATTGCAATTTCAAAGGCATGTATACTTATTCATTATTCTTGTTTTTTTTGTCTATTTTATTGGAAGTGTTTCTTTTTTTTTTTTTTTTGTTAATTTGTTACTTTCTAATTAAGAGCTCCTTGCCAGGTTATGCAATTTGTTGAAGCGCCAGAGTATAGTATGTTTACACGCATAGTTTTTGATACTGCACCCACAGTAAGAGAAAATTGACAGGCATTGGAAATTAAATCTTTTGATGCATTATCTAGTCCACTCATGATTGTCCTTAACAGGGTCATACTCTTCGACTTCTTTCCCTGCCGGACTTCTTGGATGCATCCATAGGCAAGATATTGAAGGTATGAAACTCAAAATCAAATATGATTTCAAAACTTCATTAGCCCAAGGAAGTTGGCTTCCTAATTGGAAACCAGTGTTTGTACTTCTCCTTTTACTCAGTAATAAAATTTCATTGATCTGCTACTGATTAAAAAGAAAGACTGTGGCTGAGTTTGATTTAAACCTAAACGATAAAACAGCAAGAAAGAACAAATTTAGCTGATAATTGATGTTCATATGTTTCTTCAATTGGCATGTTGGTAAGTGGGTTCCAAGCTCATTGAGGGTAAATTTTATTTGGCCTAAACTGATCCTTCTCAAAGAATTTAATGTAACATCAATAAATCTACTGTAAAGGTCATGGAATTGGAAGTAAGGAACCATTCAAAGAAATGGCCAAAATCCTTTTGTACTCACTTGTAATTGAATTATCATTCAGAATATCTTGGAATTTCCAAAGTGCATTGGTGACAGCAGGAACCATCTTAAGATGAGTTTACCACTTCAAGAACTCAAAGTTAGTTAATAGATAATTTCCTCTAGCTAACATAATGATGTAACTGCATGCTGATTCTGCACTAGTCTCACCAATTCCACCCTTCCCATCCCACCCATCTCTCAATTTAAGGGGAATCTCAGTGTTGCCTGAAAGGAGTCATCAACCATTACCTCATTCAAGTGTCATAATGGCCACTAGGGGAATTTTCTTATTTTAAGTAACTTTGCTTTTGGAGAAGAACCAAAATATGCAACTTGACAATGCTTGAAACTTCTAAGTGTTTCATAGCTATAGCCGATTAGATGAACTTTACGATTAACAGTTTGAATTTAGTTTGGTGACAATGACATCCAGATGGATAGGTCTTTCAGTTTGAAGTTCTTAACAATGTAAATATATATATTTTTTATTGGAAACGGTAATGTAAATATTAAATTCTCAAACATATTTCATGAAGTTTTATGACAAGGATGATTTATGGAAGCCACCTGCCACCCATTAAACAATTTCAACATATGTTTTTAAGGTTATCTTGAAGTTTTAGGTGAAGCATTGACCTGGCATTTTACGTAATCTTGGATCATGTCTTATTCTTTTGATAAATATTGTCATTCAAATTGTTGTTTTTTCATGTTTACTGACATCTTCCTTTTCCCCTTATAATTTGTGGTTTCAGCTAAAGCAGAAGTTAGCTTCAGCTACTTCAGCTATCAAATCTGTTTTTGGGCAAGAGCAGCCACGGCAGGATGCTGTAAGTCTGAGATTGTTGGAAACAGCTGTTGTGTTCTTTTGAAATTTTGCATACTAACCAATCTGTTTTCTTAAGTAGGCTGACAAATTGGAACAATTAAAGGAGAGGATGGGAAAAGTTCGAGAGCTTTTCCGTGACACAGAGTCAACAGAATTTGTTATAGTAACCATACCAACGGTAATATCCTGAATCTGTAATTGTAGTAGCCTACATTTTCTTTGCTTCTCTTGTAGACTACAAAGGCGGGCATTGATGGAAATAAAGTGAAAGTATTCAGTGTAATCACAATCCAAGTTAATAACTAGAAGAACAGTCTTTCTTTGTTTTTAGAATCATTGGGACTATTTATAAGTGCAAAAAAGTGATATACATTATCAAGGGTATTATTGTAATCTCCCTATGAGTTATCTTGTGAATAAAAGAAAGAGGGATAGGCATGTAGCCTATACCTACATAAATTTCCCCTTAACTCATCTTTTTCTTCTCCTTTGTTTATCACTTTCTCTATTCTCTCTCTTACAAGTTACACGCCAATCTAAGAAGATGACTTTCTTATTGGTTATTTGCCTGATCTTGTTATGTATTCATTTAGGGTTTATGCTCACAGTAATGATAGATATAATAACCATGTTTTTTGAAGACTTAGGGAATACATAGGGGTTTGCATTACTATCTTCAAAATATTGCTTCTTTCCTTTTTACCTTTTATTACTCTCAAGCATATGAAAAGGGACATGAGTTGCATTTCTCCCAGAAAAAGTTGCTTGATATAGTAATTATTGCAGAAAGAGCATGACTTTAGGACATCCACAGCTTTAGCAGTCTTACCTTGAAAGTCAGAAACTTCAATTGAAATGTATAAGCTTCATAGGAGTTCACTGAAGGTTGCTTCAAAGTCATGTTCTCATATTTCAGTTTATTTTTTCAAGGTCATGGCCATAAGTGAGTCATCAAGGTTGTGTGCTTCTTTGAAGAAGGAACATGTTCCTGTGAGGAGGCTTATTGTTAATCAGGTTCTACCCCCATCAACATCAGATTGCAAGTTCTGTGCAATGAAAAGGAAGGTATAGATTATAAACTTTTTCTTTTTATTTTTTTCCCTGAAGAGAAATGATCTTGCAATCGGACTCAAGGAAACCAAGACAATATTCATTAACATCCTTTCTTTAGATGTTGATCAATTACAATCTGTATCTTGTGTAATTTTGACTCATGGGGTAATGCCTCTTTTGGTGAAACCAAATAGGTAGGATCTACAGATTTTAGTGATATCAACTAGTAGAAAATAGAAATAAGGAAAAAATAAGAGAAGAAAGTGAAAAAGGAAGCAGAAAGTTCCTGGAGAAGAAGAGAAAGAAGAAAGAAGATAGGAAAAGAAATAAAAGAATGATAAAAGTGTTCTGCCTCCCCACTAAGGCGGTTATAACTAGAACCACTATAAACAACAAAGATAATGGGCAGCAGCCCAAGATCAGGAATGATGTCAATCATTCCCAACTTGCATAAATCATGCTCAACCTTGTTTCTACTTTCTAGTGATTCCCTTGGTGAAGACACCGGCTAACTACAACCTAGATGAAACATAAGGCACATAAACTTCTCCTGAGGTTATTTTTCCTTAATAAAGTGCCTGTCCACTCAATATGCTTCATCCTATTATGTTGGACAGGATTATGGGCTATATTAATAGTAGCCTGATTATCACAATATAACATCATAGGTTGCTTTGCTACAGTGTCAAGTTCCTCTAGTAGAGATCAAAGTCACAATAACTATGAGATATCATGAGCCATGGACTTGTATTCAGCTTCTGCACTCTACTTGGCCACTACAATATGTTCTTAGCTTTTCCAAGGAATCATATTACCCCTAACAAAGGTGCAAAATGCCGAAGTAGACCTTCTATCCATAGTTTTCAAGGTGCCAAGGCGAGGCTAGGCGGCAGGGGGGGCCTTGTCGCCTAGTCGCCTGCCTAGGCGATGGATTTTTTTAAGTAAAAATCACATATCCTAGGGTAATTCCCTAGGTTCCATAACCAACTTTCTTTAATAACTATCCATAATTTTCATAAGAAAATTATAAACTTCATGTTTAAGTCTAGAAAATCGACAAATTTATGAGAAGAAAAAGAAGCAAGGAAAGAAAATTCAAAAAATATATGGGCTGAACCCCTATTTTTGTTATAGGAAAAGAAGAAAAGAAATGTGTTGATTAGACAAAATTTTATTTCTTCCCTAACTTATTGGTTCAGATTTTGAAGTCATTGAGGATTCAATACAGCAGTTAGCAATTTGTGTTGATTAAGCCCTAACAAATAAGAAAATAATAAAAAGAAATTAGTTTATAATTACAAAAAATGAATATTTTTCTTTAATAATGTCTATTTCATAATTATAATCTCAAAAAAATAACAATATAAAAGTATTTTATTACACAGTATGCAAAATTGCTTGGTGACTGGGCGAGGCGAGCCTCCAAGGGCACCTTGTCGCCTAGGCGTTGCCTTGACAACTATGCTGCTATCATCCAAGAATCATGCCCAATCTGCATTTCTATAGACCTCTAGTTTTATATGTCCATGATTTGCAAATAATATACCTCATCCTAGATGTTTCTTAGATAGTCAAGAATCCTATCAACGACCGCCCAATGTGACATCTAAGGAGCATGCATGTATTGGCTCACCACACTAATTGCATAGGAGATATCTGGATGAATCATGCACATGTATAACAATTGACCCACTAATATTTGATACTTTTTTGTCAATAAATGCAAGATTTTTATTAAAGTTAAAAGAAAAGGTATATACAACTTGTCTCTCTCCAAAAAACTTTTTGTTTTACAACTATGCCCAAAACAAGGTATCCCTCTCCACCCCTTGCTTGGCTAATCCATTTGCCATAGAGTTAGCACAATGTTATTCCTTCCATCCTTAGATCATCACATAGCAATCAACTCGACACTAGTTTTTGATCTCCCTCAACAACTAATTTTCTAATGTTATTCCTTCCATCACAGCCAGCTCTACTCTAAGAGGGTCTCCTTCACCAACTGGTTGGGCTTGGACATGAATTTAGGCCCGTGGACTCGGGCTCGGACCCAAAACACTAGGTTTGACCTTTTTTTTGGGCTGGGCTCAAGCTTTCTCAAAAAAGCCCGGTGAGCCCGAGCCTGACTTGATAAAATTTTATATAATAAAAATAATATATTTTTTATTGTTCATCTTCTCTTTTTCTCAAGCCATAGTGAGATTTTTTGGTATTTTTGGGTTTTGAGGTAATTTAATATAAACAATCAGTTTTGTTGTTGAGTAAGAAAATCTTTTTTCTTTCTCAATTTCCTGGTTGGGCTTCGGGCTTTATATGAGGTTCGGGCTCAGTCTCAAGATCTAGACCAGATGGTCAGGTTGGGCTTGGGCCTGAATATGTTTTGTTGATATAGAGGCAAAGGTCGGCCCAAACTCAGCCTGACCCATGAACTGGTCTAATTGGCTCTATTGGTGTACTTTTTATAAAACGTACATATATAAAAATACTTTTATAAAAGTATTCTATTGGTTCTATTCGTACTTTTTTAAAAAAGTACTTTTACAAATTTCCTATTTTTATAACTTTTTGTTTTTCTATTTATTTATTTTTTATTTTTGTTATTAGAATTATGACATTATAGGTTCACACATTTGATCTAGATGATTGAACTGCTGACCCACGGATCAGATCTGCTGACCACAACATGTTGCTGGCCACATTCACTCAGTTACACATCTGGAACATCTCTTGTACTTCATATTGCCAATGTTCCCAATGTGTGGCTGGGTGAATGTGGCCAGCGATGTGTTATGGTTGGTGGATCTGGGCTCCTCACCCACCACGATGGAAATACCATTTTCTATTAATGAAATTATACTTTATCTTTTTCAAAAAAAATATTAATACTTTTGTACTTTTATAAAAATACTTTGAGTACTTTTATAAAAATACTTTGAGTACTTTTATACTTCACGTATACTTTCATAAAAGTATTTTCATAAATTACTATTGTTAAAGTACTTTCATAAACTACTTTGGTAAAAGTATTTTCATAAATTCAGGGACGATTGTATCGGGGGGAGGGGGCATAGGAGGAGCTATATGGTTATCTCCTTGTGTTTATATATCATATAGAAAGTACAATCTTCTAATTTATTGTACATTCCTGATAATAAAACTTCAGCTATGAGCTTTTGATAAAAAAACATTTAGAACACATGTGACATAGATCTTAAGTTTTCTCCTTACAAAAAAAAAAAAAAACTAATTCAAGAGTTGTGTTTTGATTTTGTTCTTTTTGATTATTTCAGGATCAGATGCGTGCCCTTGATATGATCCAAAATGATCAAGAACTTGCAGATTTGGCATTGATCCAGGCACCACTGGTTGATGTTGAAATCAGAGGTGTTCCAGCTCTTAAATTTATGGGGGATATGGTCTGGAAGTAAACTTAAGATTTGTACATGGTAAGGAAACCTGATTCTCTCCCACCAAATAGTATCCTTCCTTTAATCTTGCAATATGTTACTCTATCTTTTTGCTTGAATGTTTTGTTTCCTTTAAATACACTGCAAATGAGCGGAATGTCTAAAATGTAGAAACAAATTTGATTTGAATCCAGTGTTTTGAAAGGCGTGAGAGGTGTATGCTTAGAGGCACGCCTCCAAGTGAGGCGCCCCCAAAACGCCCTGAGGTTTGGCATTGACACCTCTAACGCGTACGCATCATGCGCTTTTTTTCATGAGGCATGCTAGAGGTGTATGCCCCATGTGCCTCACGCACACCTCATATAAAAAGACAAAAGAAAAAGAAAAAAAAGGAAAAAGGAAAGGGAAAGAAGAAGAAAGAAAGAAAAGAGAAGGGAAGGGAAGGGAAGGGAAGGCAAGACCCCCCCCCCATTAAAGAAAAATGAGGTCCTTCTTAAAATGCCTCGCGTTACGCCTCTGCATTTTGAAACATTGTTTGTAACATAGGCTGCATTTGTTTTCAATGCAAAAATAAATATGTACCATTCAAAAAATTCCCCCTGACCACTTCATGAATACAAACTGGTTTAATTTTGCACTAATAAATTTTGTATTCCAACCAAACGGTTTTTGGTTGTGACGAGTACAAACATAGATTCCAAGATTGAAATCCACCTTTTTTACATTAACCAACTATGAATGCAAAGTTTGCATCAAAAAAATGATACAAACTTTGTATCAATTGTCAATACAAACATATCTTGGAAGTTGTGATAGCTGTCATTGTCAGTACACAAATGTGGGACTGGATCTAGTAGGCACAACATAGTAAGCACATTCAATGAGCACTTAATAAACATTCTGACAACTGTCAAAAGTTGTTTTTAATCTTTTTCAAGGGCAGGCTGGGGTATTTTAAGGGACAGTGTCAAAAAAATTTCTTAGTGCTTATTGAACGTGCTTACAATGCTGTGCCTACCTGATCTGGACTGCACAAATGTATGCTTATCAAACGCTTGCAAACTGAACCAGAGTACATTTATGTACGGCATTTGCACTGTAAACAAACACAGCCATAGTGACTTCTTTTGGTGGACAGTGGAGGATCTATGGACTTTTTTTAACAATAACAGGAAAAAACATTGTTAAAGGGAATTTTCTCTGATGCATTTGATGACCGTTTTGTTGGTTGGTGAACTTGGGGTGTTCACCAATATGTATGGTTTTGTTTTCTAAAACAAAAACAATTATCATGCAAGCAAAATCATGCTGTTTTTGCTGATGTAGCAGTTGCTTTTGTTTTGAAAAACAAAATCATTCATATTTGGAAACACCCCATAGGGGCTTTTGATCAAGGAATTTTTTTTTTTTTTAATTAAAGAACTGCTGTATCAGACATGACATACCGGATGTGAACCACTAGTTGTTGATGTGTTATTTTCTGATACCTGCACGTTTGGAAATTTGTTACAAAGTGCTGACAGTATCTCATTTTCATGAGTTTCAGGATGAATACACAAAACTCATTTACAAACTGCTCCCACAGAAGTTGCTGTCATGTTGTTTGTTTACAAAGATATCTCGATGCCTGGGAAGATGATTGTATTTTTCAGGTTACTTGCAAAACAGAATACAAAGAACATCTGTAATCTTTCTCATTGATGAAAAAAATTGGAAGATGTTCTGGCAATCATGTGTCTCTTCTTTGTTTCATATCTGCGTAGAAAAATACCCAGGTTGCTTTCTTAGGTGGTTGATGGTAAACGCCTCATAGGGGTGCAAGTCGGGTTGGTTTTTTTTGGATAAGAAAGTCAGGTCGGGTTAGGTCTGGTTTATGTCAACCCTAATCCAACTTAAGTTGTTGAACCGTAACCCTAGGCTTAACGCAACCTGATGACTCTGGTTTTAGCATTATTATATGCACAAGGACATGGTTATTGTACTTGAATATTATACTTATACTAGAAATTTAGAAAATTTTTTTTTACAAGTATCAACAATGCAACGAGTATCAGAAAGGCAATTTTAAGATATGTATTGGGACATGCTTGGAAAAATGAAGAACTTAAGATATGCATGTAAACATTAGGGGAATTCAAATAAGTCCCAGAAATACATTAGTTAAACTAAATCTAAGTCTCAAATAACTGTAAATGAGGTATATATGCACAATAAATATAAGGTTTAATAGGTTTGTAGGAAGTATTAAGTATCAACTACCGGGATATGCTGCAGAAACCTTAGGAAATGGTAGAAGAATTAAATATGGGAAATTGTCTAAAACTCACAATCACTTCTTATGAATTCTCTTTAACTCATCAAAACTTTTCAAAACATCGAAAACTCCCCATGTCAGTGAGACAACGGTAATTTGGCTAATGGATGTTGCTAATTTACTATTTTACCCTTTCTTATGTTCGACCCATTTTACAATATCCCAAATGATAAAAGTTTAAAAAAAATCAAACAAAAATTAGCCATTGCACCCTAATAATATTGCAAGAAATTTTCAAAAAATATTTCAGAGAATTAGATAAATAGATTACAAAAATATTTTTGCATAAATTTGCAAAGCCTCATGGGGATTTGCATTCCATATTAGTTTTAAAAATTTACAATACATATTTACATATTTCAAAACATTAGAAATCTCTGGAAGTTCTGATCATAATCTTCGTTCCTTCACAACTTCAAACGAGATATAGGAGCGAGTGAAGCAAAAAGGGTTAAACTATGTTGGGCATTAGCAGCTGCTGTGTTGATGGTTGCATGCCTGTCCAAAAACCTTCATAATCATCAACATAAGAAGTACACAATAGTTACGTTCATGGACTGTCAAAGCCTTTTGGAACCACCTCTCCAGTTTTTCGATTATTCAGTGATTTGGCGGTTGTCATCAAATGGGATTGGAAATGGAAATGGGTTATTTGCCATTTGCTTCGTCTCAAATGAAGAAGATGGAAGACTGGTAGAGTGGTATTAGGCTTCTCCACTTTTCCGCTTTCTTTATGTTCACTGGGTCCGATGGAATCAACTTAGCTTATGGGTTGTGGCTTGTTGATTTTGGATTCCATTTTCGTTTTATCGTGTGAAAATTCTGTTCATTTTAGTGAGAGAAGATATAGGAGCATAAATTGCAACCTCCAGCATATACCCTGGTAGATATATATTCAGTACCTTTTTACACAGGGCTCAAGTCACAGGAGCAGATTCAGTTAAGAGCCAAATGGGAAATGAAGAATTAGAGAAGAAGAATAAGGGATGAGATGTTGTGGTCCAAACCACAGCTGAATGAATCTACTTACGGCAAGAAGTCAATGTATCTCATCTGGCTTCATCTGCAACCTCACCACCTCAGACGATCGAGGTGGAATCGAATCCTTAAAATTTATATTGGCAAATCTTAATGACTTCAAGGAGTAAGCGAGTAGATCCATTCCATGAGCCCACAACGTATTGTTTGCTTTTCCTTTGGGTACAAGCTCCTCAATGGCCACTTTGAACTCACCTCTCTTTCCCTGTTCCCCTTTCAGCAGTCCCTCTTAATTTCCCTGGCCAAGACAAGAGAGCTAGTCACCGCTGAGGTGCGGCCACAGACAGGTGTGAAGCCAAAGCGCCAAGATCCAGGTGTTATCGGGTAGAGCATAGAGGCTCACAAAAATAGATGAAAAAAATGCACCTCTTTAATGTTATGGTCGCCAATGATTGGCCGGTGGTGGGTAACTTGAGAGGAGAAACAGAGATACTTGGCACAGAGAGAGAGAGAGAATCTAATTCTAAAAGACCCTTTTCCCTAATTCGCCAATCAGGGGTAGTTTGGTCATGAAAACATTATTATTGCTGATGTGGACAAGTTCTATCAATGAATATTAACGGAAAGTGAGTTTTAGAAAATAAAAGCTTATTAACATGGGGAGTTTTGGATGTTTTGAAAAGTTATGGTGACTTTAAGAGGATCCCTAAAAAGTTATGGTGAATTTTAAACAAATTTCTTTAAAATATTAATAAAAAGAGTTGATACAATTTTTAGCAATGTTTTAATTAATAGACTAATTTAAATTTTAAATAAGGCAAGGTATGTATTGGTTAGTGATCAAGTATGGGTTTGTAACAGTTATCAGTTTGCAAACTAACTGTGGTTTTTGATGGTTGGGTATAAGTTTGTCACAGTTTGCACAAGTTAAGTGTTTGTTTATAATGGCGAGTGTGGGATTGTAATTAGTCAGTAAGATTAATAATGGCACTATGGATTTATAACAATCTGTACTAATTGAGTATGAGTTGGTAAGGGTTTGTAGCAAGTCAACTATCGGCTTGTAATGGTAGAATATTGGTTTGTAATGAACGAATATGGTTTGTGATGTTACTTATAAAAAAAAAAGGTTTGTGATGTTTGATTAGTTGTTTGTAAGTTTGTATCGAGTATTCGTTTGATAAGGTTGAATATGGGTTTTCAACAGTTGTAAGAATTACAAGGTGCCGACCGGCTGGTTGCAGCATCTCACCTGCACCTGAATTGAGGGGTTATGGGTTTGGGGGATAGACTACCCCTCCCCGGTTGTTAGTCCCATGGAAAGAAAAAATAGGGAAAAGTACTCTGCAGTTCACTGCAGAATTTTAAATTACAGCCCCCCATAGGTGTACTAATAGCCCCCCTCCCCCATAAACCGCATCTTGCCCGTGGATTTGGCATCAATCCACGGTCAGGATTCATCCCTGTAATGTGGGGCTAAAGAATTCTGAGCTGGGCTGATCAGTTATTCTCCCAAAAAGAATATGGGTTTTTAACGGTTTGTACTAATTGAGTATCAGAGAGTGATGGTTGAGCATGGGTTTACAACAGTTGAATAGGGCTTATGATATTGGTATTATGAAGAACCAATGCTCATTGGCCGGGCCAGGCTTGGCATCTATTTAAAGGAGCACAGTCCAGGCTTAGGCCTGGCTCAGCCTGCACCCTGGGCCTACACAGTCCCAAGATGGTCTTTCAGGCATATAACCTTCTGTATGTTTTATTAAATATATTATATTTTGGTCATGTAACAAATGTTATGCTTTATACAAGATAAAATATAACATGAAATAACACATGCATATATGTAATCATACATTGCATATTGCGGCCTAAGCAAGGCTTAAGTATTGAGCCCCTACCTGGCTCACAAATATCTGGGCCTATTGCATGCTTGGGCTGAGATGAAAACAAAACCTAGGCCAAGCCCAAAAATGTTCAGGTCAGGCTGGAAATCATCACCTCTAACATAGAACATAAGTTCTTAGGCAGATAGTTGCATACAAATACAATATACAAACATACATACAAATATGAAGGATGCGAGGTTTGGGTGAGATCAGGTTGTCTATGGCCTCAATCCTTATCTAACCTTATGTTTAAGTTCAGGTTCATATTTTGGGTTTGGGCCATTGGGTTTACCCAGCCCAAGGTGCAACTCTATATATATGTGACTATCACAGCACAGAGAGCATGAGAATTAACAACTCACAATTGCATTTCCCAAGATATAATGATGACATAGTGCAATCCTGGAAACCCTAAACCAAAAACTGAGCCTACTAAAGAGACATTCAGCACAATTTTATCTGTCAAAAGAAAATAAGGCTGCATTTCTTTATATGTATGACAGAAAACAATTCCGGCCAGCATCGTGTATGGACACTCCACCTTTGGAAGGGACTCTTAAGCAACATGTTCCACAAGTCGATTCGCATTTGACTCTCCAAACTGTTTTGAACTTATCTTTAGTGCAAATAAGACGGATGATCATCTTGAATCTCCAAAATTACTAATCTTCACTTTGAAGTCTCTATTAACAATAGTTTAACCATTCTTTTTTTCTTCTTTTTTCTCAGAAAAGTGATTTAACCATTCAAATTATCCAATAGGAGAGATTGTGACATTTGTATTTTTCCAATTTGCGCATCACTTCTGATCTATTATTTACTAGATATTTTTCAATCAACAAACTAAAATGTAATACAAAAACTACCAGTGTGGTCACGTAGCAAAGACAGTTTTAACTTTACAATTGTAAATTGTAATTTAGCCTTTTAAGTTATACTTAAATAGTTCTATAAATTTTAAGTATTAATATTTTATATAAAATAAAATATTATTTATGAAGACATGTCCATTAATCCTGCTTTTTTGAATTCACCAAGTTAGACTCCTGGACATGTGTTTGATTTTAATTCCCAGTATTCACTGATCATAAAGAGGGTATCTATGAAATGAATGTTTTTATTTTTTATTTTTTAATTTTCACATCAATAAAAAAAAATTAAGCACGTTCTTCAAATGCGTTTTTTTTTTTTTTAAGCAGCAAAAGCAGATCAGTTTTGTTTTAGAAAAGCAATTTATGTTTTTCAATCATCAATATAGCAGAGTCACAAACTAATTAGAAGCAATGGTTTTGACCACGTGCTCTTGGTACTTAATTAATTCTGGATCCAAAAAAGTGGTCTATGACTTGAAAGAAAACTTCAAAATAATGAAAACAAGACTTATTACCAAAAATAAAGTTCTCTGATATGGCATATATCCAGCATCCAGGGCTAGCTGACGGCCCATCTGCATCTACAGTAAGGGCCCAAGATTCTTTCTTTTCCTGCCATTTTAGTAGCAAGCTGCAAGCGTATATACTTAATACTTGGTGCGCCTCAATTTTGACTTGCAACTGCAAGGTAACTATCCTTGGCAGTTTAATCTAATCCTCTTATAACTTTTAGGTATTTGGCATCTAAATTCTGATGAAATTCATAGATCAAGCAAAACAAAATTGCTGATTCAACATACATCAAGAGCTTATTCTTGTGCTCCATTGTCATCCATGGTATTTTCAGTGGTTGTCAGGCCTCGGATCTTAACATCGTAGTAAACTTCTTCAACTCTTCTCAAATCATATTTCATTCCTGTCAACATAGAAGAAAGAGAGGGCTTTAATAAAAAGGGAAACATTTTAGCAGCATGAAACCAGCTGATTTCAGATAACCTGGTTTTATTCCAGAGGACAAATGAGATGTATTTAATTTGGAAGTTTTGTGAGAAGAAAGCAATTGAGTGATATAAATTACCGTCGAACTTCTTTCGCAGGAAATCATTGCGGAGATTAAGCATTCGGAAGGCAGCATGGAGATCTGTTAAAAACTTCACAACGTTTCTGGGGCAATCATAGTCTCCGGCTGTCACTTGGTTCACCACATATCGGGGCTGCCAGTTACCCATCATCAGTAAAATAATGACAATCAATTGTTTTTCCTTTTCTAAACACTTTAAAAATACAATCACTCTAGGCTGAGGAAAGAAGAGAGCCATCACCAATCTGCTACTATAGGTCCCTCCACGTATGAATGGGAATAGTTTATTTCTTCAAGGGTAAAATAAATAAATAAACATCTAGGACAGTTGAAAAACATCATTTAAAAATAACATAAGACATAAGGTTAAACTAGAACAAAGCAATTTAGGTTATGATAATATTAAGTTGGTTGAATTACAATCATGCAAGTGTTAATACAACTTCAGAGAATTAAGTTTAATGTCTTAACCCACAAAGGAAGGGGCCATTGCTTGGTAAAACAGTAAAATCTTGGCTGGCAAGTATGAGAACACAGTTTCGCATCTGAGAGTGGCCACCTTGTGCAAGGGAGTGTTAAAGGTTAGGTTTTAATCCAGTCCACCCCACCCAAGACCCAGGATAGCCAGGTTTATTCATTATACTAGTATTTTTTTAATATATATCAAACTCAGTTCTTCTTGAATCACTGACCAACTGGAGCTATGTGCTCTATTTAGAGTGCACTCTCAGTTTTCTAATCTGGATTTCATTGAAGCTTTGCAAGTAATTCTTTGGAAAAGAATCTTGAAAGACAATAGATGAGAAATCCCACAAATTTATCTTGTCAAGTCACATGCATTTAGATTAGATATATCAATGATGACAGAGTCCTGATCACATTTTAATAGACTTTGTGAACACTTATCAAAACTTTATTTCATAAGCAAGGTCGCAAAAAGATGGTTATCCATTAGCAGGAGGAAAAAAATAAGGAAAGCAAAATAGGTAAACTAATAACAAAAGGAATAACAACTTAAAGAATGATTCTCACCAATTCATTTGACATGAAACATATTCCTGCATGGTAAATAGGAAGAAAGAGAAAGAGAAGAAAGAAAACTGCAATGTCAGCGTATATAAATACTGTCATAAAATATAATATCATTAGGACCAAAGATAGATAATAGAAACAGAGTTCCTTATGAATGGAAACTAGAAGAAAAACTGCAGCAGCTTAAAGAGGGAAAGCTAAAACATAGTCCAAAGGATAATAATATCTAAAATTACAATGGCCACACATCCAACTGATTAAATGCTTAAAGAACGCATTATCTTGCATTGAAGAAAACTAAGTGCTGATAAATGTTCATTTACCAGTATAAACATATGGATATATATTAATAAAATAAAGAATCAACACTTTGAAGGTTACCTTCCTCCCAACAGAAGCTCTGGAAGGCACATATGGCCTCCAACTCCAGAGGGTTTTTAGAATTCTAAACATCAAAAGACACATTTAGGTCTTAACTATCCAGTAAAATTTATCAATTTAATTTATAATTATTAACAATAGAGGGTGATCTAGCTAATTGAAGATGGTTAGGATAAGGCTTTATTGAGTTAAATTGAGAAACAGAGGATGATCATGGTTAAGGGTACAAGTAGGGCTGGGTTTGGTTGGTCGAGCTCAACCATAACCCAAACCAAGTTGTCAAACCCACAAATCTTAAACCTAACTCAACTCAATGACATCCGGTTGGGTTTGGGCTGGATTCAGGTTGGCCCAATTTCTTCACTTATTTTTGGTTTTACAAGAAAATAATGTTATCACTTCTCAGAGTTGGGATACCAATGTTGTACTAAAAAGAAATCTCCCTTTAAACTTAAAATTGCCAATACTTATACATGTGCATATGGTTCAAAGTTTCGATACACTTTTTATTTTTTTTAGTTTTTTTTCTCAAAACTTCATTTTTATAAATATTTTTATATTTTTCAATAAATAAAATAAATGAGCTCCTGAAAACACCTTTAAACAGGTGTATTGTAACCCTGCCCATATATAACTTTGAACCTTGCATGTGCATGCTTGCATGCGTATATACATATTTGTATAATATTTATATATGCAATATGAAGACATGTTGGGTTCAGAGGTCTGGTTCATGTTTTTCAAACCTAACCCAAACCTGATCTTCAATCACACCCAACCAACCTGACTTTTTTTTGGGTCAGATTCAGGCTAACCTGACCCAATTTGCATCACTAATCATGGTGAATTCATCGCACAGGAGAAATGTAAAGCAAACTAACCACCAAAACTTGTGTTATTAGTCAATTAGCTCTTATTTAAAGCTCACATTATTTGGTCATAGTCCTCAATTATTTCTTTTGCATTTGGTAGTAAAACTAATGGAAAGAAGGGCCATTACTTGGTGTAATGATAAAATCTCAGGCTGGCAAGCATAAGAACTCAGTTCAAATCTGAGAGCGGCCACTTTGTGAGAAAAAAAATGCCAAAGGTTAGGACTATACCCAGTCTACCTCTCCAGTGACCCCAGATAGGTAGGAGATCAAAATTGGGTAATGGTCTTTTTTTAGTAAAACTATGGGAAAGATAGGTAAACAAGTTGCAATGCAAAGAGAACTTGGAGACTAGTCCACATTATTAAGGATTTTTTCTTGAAATCCAAGCTGGACATCTAGTTCTCTTCATTAAATATATCAGAAAATGTTTTACCAGATTCTCTTGCCAAAGAAGTTCCCACCAACCCAGGGTAGCACACTGAATTCTGTTACAATTGCTAAGCAAACCGCGTTTTGGTCACCCCTTTTTTCATTTCTTCTTTATTGTAATCTGATCTCCACCACTTCCGAGTAGGTGGAGTATGGCTCAACTCAACTAAATAAAGCATTATCCTAACCAATGATGCAATATTTGAGTATTGATCTTTTAAGTAAAAGTTCTAGCAACCGAGCCAAATAAAACGTCCATAGGAAAGAACTATAACAAAAATTCAATACATGTCATGGAGAGCCAATAAGTGTTTTCCAAAAGTGATAAGACCTATCAGATCTTGAAGATACAAAGCAATTTAGAAACATCCTATGAGGGAAAACAAATTGTACTATCTTCATTTCAGGGTTCTTAGCGTTTTGAGACTTTGCATGTGCCGTTTAATTGGAAAGGTAATACCAAGCGATAGATGAACCAAAGCTAACGAAAGAAGTTTATTGAATCAACAAGATTTTCCACCCAAGATCAAGCCCACAGTGTGGTCCACCAAAGAAGTTTATAAAGGTAAGGGAAAACTGAAAAGAAAGGGGTAACAAAATATAAACAAAATAAGGAAAAAAAAAGAAGCCAGATTTATAGTTTATAGCTTGAGCATTCTTTTTTCCCTTCTTGAGGAAGAGATCAGCATTGTCATGGCATAGTAATATGTAAAATTAAGAAAAATTTTGCTTTAAACTGAGTAGCTACTCACCAATAAGATAATCTTCAACGTCAAGACCAAAGTCCGAAGAATTCACTGCATTATTAACCATATATTCTACATTAGGAAAGAAAATCTTCAGCAAACTTACACATAAAACTGAACAAACCATTTCAGAAAGAAAAAAAGGAGAAAAAGAAGAAACCGGGGGACTGCAAGAAAATTAAGAAGTGCCTAAGTTAGAAGGCCAACACATAGTAGTTTCTGTGAAACAAAAAACAATTAAATATATATATCATGTAAGGAACTTTTATTCTCTCTGAGCCACGTTTTGTTTCATAAATACTTTCTAGCTAGCTGAGCTCCATGACGAATTGCATGCAGACGCATAAAAAGCCTAGCCCGTATTCGTGTTTCTTACCATAGTGATAGTAAGCAAGGATACTAAAATGCTCGAAAATGAAGCAACATAATTGTGCCCAGCTCACAATTGTTTAACAAATAATGTCCACATGCAACGCAAAAACATTAGGAATCAAGCAGGTGGATAGTTTTACGATGTGGATTAGCAACATTTTTTAACATACACCCAAGTTTCTCCTCAGCTTCTTTATGCATAAGAAGATTCCCCGTTTCCAACCAATGCATAAACGCAAGCAGCGAAACCACTGTCTGTGTCTCAGTCCTCCAATCTCCATGATACCTAAGAAGAATCCATGAAAAGCATAAGCCAAAATCAGTTTTCTGCCTGCGAATATATTAGAGTGAGTAGAAGGGAAAAACAAATGAAAGTAACTGCCCAAGAAATGCGACTGACCTGTAATACTGGCTAGGGCATTCACGAATAATTTCAGCAATCCGATGGAAAAGCTCCTTCAATGCACCAATCTGAACTTTGGCTTTCTCTAAAACCTCTGAACCACCAAATTCAGGAACAAATAAGAGAATAAACTAGAAACATTACTGCCACAGTTCAAGCTGATGGAACAGATAAAACGAAAAAAAAATCGCATGTGTAGCATCCGTTTCAGTACCTGGAACGGGACGAGATTGATGGACGAAGAGGATACTCGAATGCATGAGCCTGGTGACAGACTCTATCTCCATGGAAACGGCTCGAATCCGTTCGCGTAAGCTTCCAGATGCTTCAAGCTGAAGACGGAACTCCTCAAATTGTTTCTCCACTGAAGAAGACAGAGACGCGGAATTAGGAACAGACGCCATAGAGGAAGAAGAATCAGAAGCTGCACAAAACAACCAAACCCTCTCGTTTCTTAGGACAGAAGAAGGCAAAGGAAATGATGGAGAAGCTCTAATGGCACTGATACTGAGAAGAGGAATTTGTAAGTTATGGCTAGTGTTAGGGATTAAGGAATGAGAGAGAGAGAAGAAGGCGTTTCGAAACGCCAACTTCATTTTTCGAAAATGAGCAGTTTCGCTTTCAACTCTCACCGTATATTTCACGACACCACCCTCCCTCCCTCCCTGTCCCGGAGTTTCTGTACACATCTCAACTCGAGACTCCAGTAGCGGCTTTCTTTGGAAAAGAAGGATAAGCAAAGCTTTTACACCGAAATTTCGGTTATTTCGGTTTCTAACAAAACGATATTTCATTTTTGGTGGTATAAAAACACCCATAGTTTTGTGGATTTATTAAAATAAAGTGAAAATTCCCGATTAGTATATACTTAGTGCCACTTTGGTCCCTGAACTTTAAATTCAGTATTCGAACTTTCAAAACATGTCAATCCAGTTTCTATGTTAACCATTGTTAACTAGTTGTTAAATAGCATTTGAAAAGGATACAAATGTCCTTCGAATGTCATCTAATTTTCTTCATCAAACATCCAAACATTGACAAAAAATTAACAATCATAAATCTTTGCTTCTTCTATTCAAGAAAGTTGGGGTCCAGAATGCCCACTGAGATATGACCCCAACTTTATTGAGTAGAAGAAGCAAGGATTTAGGACTGTTAATTTTTTGTCAACACTTGGATGTTTGATAAAAAAAATTAAATGATACTAGAAGGACATTTGTGTCTTTATCAAATGCCATTTAACAGCTAATTAACGGTAAATACCGAATTGACACGTTTTGAAAGTTTAAATACTAAATTATTGCATTTTAAAATTTGAAGACCAAAGTGGCACTAGGCCCAAAATACATGATACTAATCAAGAATTTTCCCTTACTAAAACACCCATCTTATAGTATGCCACCAAATTAATTAATTAATGGATCTTTCAGTGGATAGACGTGAAAAATGATAGTAACCTTAAGGTCCATTCAAACAAATTTAATTTACAAGAAACATAAAATGAAAGCATCATTATCACTCAGATAAAACACAAATAACCACTATGTTGAGTCGATTTTATTATCTATTTGAAGGTAATACACTATTTGTGGGAAATAATAAATTCAGATGCCATTATTTTATCCTCTGCATATTTTCTTTTCTCTAAGCAAGCTTGGTTTCGTAGATTTGGAAATCAAACATTGTTGTTTCCCCTAAAAGCTTGATATGAAATGCTAAAAGTACTTTTTGGAATAAATAATCATGAACCGATGGCTTTCAACATTTTCCACTCCATTTACGCAGTTATTAGGTATTAATGGACCAGTTTTGGGATGAACCTCGTCCAAATCAAAATCAATTTGGACAAATTGGATGGGCCCACAAGACATATTGAAATGGACAAATTCAAACTTAATGGTTCGAAGTATTTATTGGATTGGATTGGACCTGATCCATACATAATGAATTTATTTTGGATTGGATTGGATTGAGCCAATATCTGCTCCATTGATAGAAGACAAGAATATAGGTGTCAATGGACCAGGTTTGGGTTAGAACAGATTAGACGGTCCAAACATTGAATTAGATCGGTCCAAAATATTCATTGGATTGGATTGGATTGGATCTGGTCCATTTGTAATGGACTCACATTGGATTAGATTGGATTGGACCAAATCCAGTTCAATTGACACCCCTTAGCGGTTATCTAATCATTTCCAAGTGCTAATACAAACTGTTCTTAATGGAAGGTCGATTAAGAAAATTAATTACAAACTAAACTATAGAAGGTATTTTAATAAAACACAAACTATAGGATAGGTTTAGTAAATTACATAGATAAGGAGTGTATTAATAAAACCCTTAAAAATTAAAAAGAAAAGAAATTACATAGATAAAACGTTCGGAAAGAACATACAGGAGGGATGGCAAGGTGCGTCCCATGTATTTCATTACTGGCATCGGAATAATATCATTGGTTCCGCAGCTAATTGAACAGCCTTGGTGTTCAGCTAATTCGAATTATGCTAATTCTACAAATAGCAGAATATTGCAAAATAAGTTTAAATAAACAAAACGGTCGTTAATAAATTAAAAGCAATTGTCACCGATGTTTCATCCAGCCATCCAGCCATCCAGCCACACGTTGAGAATATAGGTGACCACTACACAACCGATGTTTCATATATGTGGCTGGATGAACATGACCAGCAATGTGTTGTGATCAGCAGATCCAGTCTCCTAAGGTTTTGTGTTTCTATTGTCCAAAATCATAGGCTTTGTGCTTTGGGTTTAAAAGTGTTTTGAGACTTAGATTGTTATGTTCTTAAAAGCAATTGTTACCAAACATTCAGAACAATTTTTGAGGCATTCTTTTTCCATAGCATAATTTGCTATCAATGGCGTGTCAGTGTCGTCAGTGTCGAGATTTCCTGCACTTATTTGTGTTGAACTTGTCGTACTTTGTGACTAGACCTGTTCATGGGCTGGTTTTGGGCTCAACTTTACATTGTCCTGGGCTTGGACTTCGGGCCTGGTCCATTTGAATTTTAGTAAAAGCTACGCCCTTGACCAGCCTGTGAACAGGTCTATTGTGAGTTGTGACCAATATCACATTACTCGTGTGGTCTCATATGCATGGTGCTTGTATACATGTGATAGAACACCTATCACAGTCCACAAAGTATTAATTTTTTTTTTTGGCAATTTACATACGCTATTTTCAATTATGTACTAGTGAGGACCCATGCGATGCACGAGATTTCTTAAGTGAAAGCTAAATAATAGAAAGGGTCATTTACTAAAATACCCCCTGCTGTTTCATGGATTTACTAAAATCTACCTATAGTTTGTATTTTACTAAAACACCACTTATAATTTGCAATAGATTTAATCAATGGAAAATGTCAGTGTTGACCCAAATGTTCGTTTAAATAAATTTAATCAAAAAATAAAAAAAATACCATTTTTGTCCCTAATAAGACATGGACAACCACTCTATTGGCTATATTTGGTCAATTTTGTTTTTTGTACAAAAAAGTGTTAAGGGTATTTTGGGAATAAAAAATATGGGCCTAATGGCAAAACAAACACTCCTTAATGAAAGGTTGATTAAGTAAATAAGTTGTAAAATATATATGTGATATTTTAGTAAAATGAAAACTATAAGATAGGTTTAAGTAAATATGTAAAACTATAAGGTGCGCTCTTAAATGACCCTAATGAAAACAAATAAGAGTATATAATTGTTTTATATTTCAACTGTTTAAATAATTAATAATTATTCATATTTTATATACTACTTTTAATACTTTTTTTTATAATCCAAAAATAACAATAATTAATTTCAGTTAGGTTTATTCATCAAACCGATGAAACCGACCAACCTGATCAACTCGACCCGAGTTGGTCGGTTTTCTAATATTTTAGGTCGGCTTCAGTTCAAAAAATTTCCAACTCGACAAAGTTGGATAAGTTTCGCTTAGGAAATTTGTAAACCAACCAAAATTGGATGACCTGACCATTGATATATATATATATGGAAAGTGGGAAATTTCCCATATTTCTTAGACCAAAATGTTTTATATCATAAATTTAATCTTTAAATTTATTTTTTAACAATTGCATTGTAATTTTTAAAATTTAAATTTAATTTTCAAGTTTAAATCTTTTGAATTGACTGACCAAACCAAAAAGTTGACCCAAACCGATACAACCTGAGTGGGTTGATTTCCACAAATGGTTAGTCGGTTTCAACTGACTAACTCTCCAACTTGACCAGGTCAATTTGGTTGGCCAAATAGCCTACAACCAAAATGAACCAACTCATGAGCACTCATAATTTCAGCTAAATCAATAGCCTCATTTCTAATAAATAACAATAGTTTAATCTCCAATAATTATTGAAAAATTATAGCAAAAATACACAATTATTGAAAATATATTGATAATGAAAAAGATACAATAATTACTAAAAATATATTAAATTAGTCAATAAATAGTAATCTCAAATAATAGTTTAATCTCTAATAAATGTTAATCAATAAGTTATAAAAAAATACAATAAATACAGTAAGTAAAATAAAAAAATTTAAAAATTTCAATAATAGTAGTTTAAACCCAATAATTACTGAAAGCTTCCTATTAAATAACCAAATAAAAAGAAGTTTATACATAATTATTGAAAACACATTTATCACAAAAAAAATAATTAATTAATGAAATGAAATAAATATTAATATTAGTATATATAATTATATAATAAATATATATTAAGAGTTTAAAATTATTAATAAACATTAATCTTTATGAAAGTTATTTTCTTGAATTATTAATTGATATAAGTGAAATTAGTTATTTACAATATTAAGTAAAAATATTAAATTATTATTAAAGTTATTTCATTATTAATTTTCTAAAATATTAAATTATTATTAATTTCAATATTATGATATAATTATTTTTCTACTTTTCAATTTTTTTTTTAAATTTATTACACAACTTCTATATTTTAACTAATTTAAAATATAGTTATGTTAAATATTTTGTTACTTAAAATATTTAGTTATTTAAATACTTAAATAATATGTAAAATATTTAATTTTTAAAGTATTAATTATTTATTAATTTAATAATGCATAAAATTATAATTTATACTATTATTACATAATTTCATTAGTAATTCTGTAAGATACTAAATTATTATTAATTTCAATATTATTTTATAATTATTTTTCTACTTTTAAGAAATTGTTTAAATTTATTACATATTTTCGTTATTTTAACTATTTAAAATCTAGTTATGTTAAATATTTAGTTATTTAGGTATTCAAATAATATGTAAAATATTTAAATTTTTTGTTATTTGAATTTTATTTATTTAAAGCTATTACATATTACTAAGTATTTTTTTTTAAATTATTTATATATTTATAATTTTTTGTTATTTAAAATATTTATTTATTGAAAAGATTAAATAATATTTTATTTTTTAATGTTAAATTTTTATTATTTGAATAACATTTAAATTAATAATCTGGAAAAACTGAATTTAAATTATTAATACATAATTTCGTGATATATTTAGTAAAAATATAAAAATATTTTGTGTGTTTCTAATAAACATTTTAAAGTTATTATATAATTTTGTTAGAATATTTAAATAATTCTTAATTGTTTTAATCCAAGCTTTCTTTAGAAAGATATAGATAAAAAATGGGGGAGAGGATAAATAGGAAATAAAGATAATTTAGGAAAGAAAGTTCTACTAAATTAGAAATAATTTTGGAGATAAGGAAGATTAGATAATTTAGAAGATAAATAGGAATTAGAGATAATTTAGGAGAAAATGGGGGATAGTGGGGGAGGTAGTTTAAGAGAAATTTTAGGAGAAAAGATTATTTATGTTATTGGGAAAGTGCATCTCATTGATTGTTTAGAAAATGACATGGAATTAAAAAAATAAAAAATTCAAAAAGGGAGAAAATTTTTCTCTCTCTCTCTCTCTACTTCCGTAGATAATTTTTTCTGCGGTGGCCTGGGTTGTAAATTGCCCTTTTTTCCCACCAACGTGTGGCATGGTAGAAAAGGGAAAATCTATGATATGAAAAGAGTTTTGACCAATCAAAACCCACCCATAAATTTTGATGAATAACACCTGATTAACTACCAAGTCTATGATTCCAGTTGATTAGTCAGATGTTTTTTGAATATCATATTTTTTCCATATTATAGTCGAACCCGGTAGAAAATTACCAAATTTGGTAAGATTCTACTGTATCCATATATCGTGCCTGTGTTAGTCTGAACTCTGTATTACAAACTCATATTCAATTGTCCCAAAGGCTTTGGAAGGAGTACAAATATAAATATGTACAGTACAAATACATATAAAATAATGCAAAATATAAAGTTTTGCACTCTATGTATTTGTATTTGTACTCCGTCCAAATGGAGCTAAACTGTTACAAATCATTACAAATCCATAGTTCCATACAACTATTAGAAACCGATACTTGACTGGTACAAACCGTTACAAACTCATGTTTAACCAGTAGAAACCATATTCAACCATTTCGAACTGATATGCAATTGATACAAAAATTACAAACCCATAATCAATCATGGCAAATCACACTCGACTTTTCTTTTACAAATAAAAAATTCCAAACCATTACAAATCGATACTCAATTGGTACACAAACTACACATTATTATAAGCCCACACTTGACCATTAAAAACCATACTCGACTGTTGCAATCTCATACTCAACCATTACAAGCTGATACTTGATTGGTACAAGCCGTTACAAGCTGTTACAAACTGACATCAATTATCACTTATTACAAACCCATACATACCTGCCTATCAATTAAGGCCGCTTAAAATTATACATATACATAAATGCAATTGCTGAGAGTTAAACACAAGGTGCCAAAATGAAAAAAAAAACTTCTGCTAAGCTACAATATCACAATTTGTCAAAATGACGTACTTTACATAGTTCTGTCTGTCATCTTTAGCCACTGATTCTAATTGTATCATGTTTAACCACTGGTTCCAACTTGGTTAGGAAAACTTGGTATGATCTTCTGGGAATGAATGGATTTCTTGGGAAAGTTAATATCATACAGGAGTCTCAAAAACTTGACCTTTTCCACTTTTGTACAAAAAGAATTGGCAAAAGAGTGATAATTTTAACTCACTTCTTTTGGAAGGTAATCATACAAAAGTAAGCTATAATACGACTAACCACACCATAGAGGAAAAGGATAATTAGACAAAGAGCCCAATCATGAAGGTCATACCCGCTTTTCATAAGAGAACCACATCGAGTTATCAGCCACACCCCAGAATACCTGGAGACAACAGAAACTAACTTAGAAGAAACTGAAAAGTTCAGTAATGCGTTAGATCTTTGTTACTCAATGAAATAATCACTGTTTCACATTCTACCTACCTTTACATGGTTAATAGGAAAATCCAACAAAGAGGAATGCTAACTACATTTATCTCTTTGCATTCTACCCATCCTTTATTAAGAAAACTAAGTTTCCTCACAGAATATGACAAATCATCATATTTAAATATATTGATTTCAATATTTTTAAAAACAATACTAACATAATAACGATTTGATAGAGCAATTTCATATCAAGTAAGCATCTAAAAAAGGGTATAATTTTATACAACAAAAATGTAAGATGGAAAGTTACAGAAAATATTGTGCAAAACCCAGAAATACAGATTTTTATGATACACAAAAATGAAGTAAAACATAGATAAATATAAGCAAGAAAAATGGCACACAAATTTACGTGGTTTGGCTTATAGCCTACGTCCACGGTTGAAGAAGCAGCAGAGATCCACTATAAAATTAACAATGGAGATTACAGAGTTGCACAACCTCTCTCGCAGACTCTCTTATTCGACTTCTCTCTCAAGCCAAAAGATGCACAAAAAAGAAAACCCCCAAACTACATAACAATGGAGATTACCAGGACCCATAAGCTGAATATGGATTGGGTCCATACCGCTTTGGGGCTCTGCCCCCACACCCCCAATAGTAGTTAGTGATGGGCTACAGACTTGAGCCAAATGGCCCAAGCCCTATGCTTCCACTGCAAACCACCATGAAATTTTGTCTTGGGGTTTTTCTCAACTTGATTTGGAGTGGGTCATGAAAGCAGGTCACGAAACAAAGAATTCAAGGCACAAACATAACAGAATAGAATTGCAAGGGTGGAGTCACTTTTTTTATTTAATGTAAGGAGAATAGAAAAAAACCAAGGTTTTAAAAACCGACCTGGAACCGGAACCATTATGGGCACCGGTTTTTGGGTCGACTGTTTGATTGTCCAGTTCAAAAGGACGACCTGTTCTGATGAAAAAAATAAAAAACAATTAAAATAAAATGGCCAAAAACCGTTAAACGAGTCAAATAGGTCAGTGGTTTGACCACCCGGGTCAACAGGTTGTTCAACAATTCAATGGTTTTTGGCCAGGGACTGGTTTTGGGTAAAATGGAACCCGTTGCTTGGACAATTCCCGGGCCAAATGGTCCAACTGTCTGGGTCAACAACAGTTCGAAAACATTGGAAAAAATTACAAAAAAAGAAACCTCTTTATCCTTATCTTCTTTCTTTCTTTTTTTGTTCTTGGATTTTTCTAAGCATCACTAGTTAAAATTAAAACAAAGTAGAAATTATATATAGTATATAATAGAATGTCATAACATGTATATTAACAATATGAAGCTGTTGTAATATGTACTCTTTAGTGATACAGGGGTATCTCGTCTTACTCCTATTTATGTTCACACCAATAAAAGGAGTGGACGCTCCCAGTCATCGAATTTGGTACTTTTCTCTTTTGTTTTATCTTCTCTTCTCTCCTTTCTCTTCTTTTAATGCCTATCATGATATCATCATGGTTTCAAAGTAGGTGCAGCAAAGGATCTGATCAATTCCTTCCTTTTTTTTTAATTCTTTATTTCTTCTTCTATCTAGGTGATTAAAGAGGAAACAGATCTTTCATCTTGGACTGATTGAAGGCAGCAATCTTTCCTTTTATTATTATTATTATTATTATTATTATTATTATTATTATTATTATTATTATCATCATCATCATCATCATCATCATCATTTCTCCTTGGTTAAAGAACAAGATCTAATTCTTAACGAGAATCCTTACTTCAACTAGTACCAATTAATGGGGCCATATGTAGAGTACAATTGTTGATAGCATCATATTTAAGATTTCAAGTACAGGTCTGGTTTTTTTGATAGCTCCTGATCCATGGAATAGAGTACCAATATTTCTCCAGGGAGCACATACACAAATTGGATTGTTTATTGTTATTGTATGATGCAAAATTAACTTAACCTGTTACCCCAACAGAATACTTTTCAGATTAAACCCACCTTCTTTTCTAGCTTCGATTTTGTGTAACCTCAATTACTAATTRGAAACAATCTATCTCATTCAAATTGCACATTGAGCTTAAAACCATGGTTTTGAAAACCGACCCGGAACTGGAGCCATTATGGCCATCGATTTCTAGGTTGACGGTTCAATTGTCTGGTTCGAACAAATGGCCCGTTCCAACAAAAAATAAAAAATTAAAAAATAATTAAAATAAAACGGTTCAACCGCCCGAGTCAGCGGGTTGCTGACCAATTTAGCGGTTTTTGGCCAACTGGGTTTGGTGTAAAATGGAACTGGTTGCCTGGACAGTTCCTGGGCCGAACGGTCCGACTGTCCAGGTCAACGACAGTTCGAAAACATTGCTTAAAACCAAGGACATTCTGTACATCTGAATGCAAGAAGTGTAGTCTAGAATTTTTTTTTTTAAATTAGATTATCAATTGAATGGTGCATACCGGATCTGTTGCTGATTAGACTAGAGGTTAAAGGGGTGTCCCTATGGTGTTGAAAGTAGGCCGGTATGCACTCTTAAGTTGATCTTCCTTAATATATTTCAACTTCCCTCTTGCAATTAAGGAAACTTCCACAGATTTATCCCATGGTACATGGTACATAATTAGCACCATTGAACTTAATAGTAGTTAACTGGGTGTTCATAAAGTCTGATTGTACTAAATAGCAGACTTGGAGCTACTACAGGAGGCGGCCATAGGTAGGATAAGACCAAATAGTGAGGGAAAAATCTACAAGCACCAACCACAAGATAACTTCCACAGCAACTTTAAGCCCAAAAAAGAGTGACTATAGTACCTTGCTACAGTAGTTTGCTATAGTACCTTGGTTTCTTGAGAGTGAGTGAAATGACTGGGGGGGGGTAGTGGGAATGAGGACGTTTGGGGAGTTTATTAGAAGAAATGGATTAATTTATCCACCACTGAATGAAGGTAGATTCACTTGGTCAAACGACCAATATCCAACTATCCTGCGGAGATTGGATAGGTTTCTTTTCTCAGAGGAATGGAAAGAGCATGTTGGGGTGTGGTGTAGGAAGCTTTACTGATCTTCTTATCAGATCGTAAACCAATTATATTGAGGAAGTTGGCTGAGAGATCAGGAACAAAGCCATTTGAGTTTGAAAATATGTGGCTGGACCATCTTTGACTTTGGAGGGTGGGTGGAAAGGAAATGGGGTGATCTAAATTTTGAAGGATCTGCAGGTTTCAGGTTGGTGAGAAAATTGCAAGGGTTGGAGGAATTAAGGGGTTGGAACAAAGAGGTTTTTGGTGATGTGGAAAGAAGGAAGAAAGAGATTCTTGAGAAGATGGCTAGGCTGGATAGATTGGAAGAGGAAGGGAGCTCTTCATGGAAAGACAAGGTGGAGAAAGGAAGCACTAGAGAGTGAACTGGAGAGACTTATTTTTAGGGAAGAAGTGATCTGGAGACAGAAGTCAAGGGTGACCTGTCTGAAGGTAGGAGATAAGAATACCACTTTCTTTCATGTGTATGCTAATGCTAGGAGGAATCTCATTACGAGGTTACAAGTGGGAGGGGTTTATAAGAATCTATACTCATCTAGAATTTGGAGTTGGGCATCTTTAGGGGGGCGGGGGGGGGGGGTGAACCCATAAAACTGAGTGATATATCAGCAAGTTGTCTAGAGAGGGAATTCGAGGTGGAGGAGATTAAGGGAGCTTTGAAGGCCTTAAATGCGGATGAGGCTCCAGTCCTGGATGGTTTCAGTTTCAACTTTATTAAAGCCTTTGGAGTCTGTTAAAAGAATATTTCTTGCAGATGTTAAAAGAATTTTTGCAGATAGGGTTCTAGAAGAAATGGTAAATTTGGATTTTATTTCACTTATCCTAAAAAGGAAGGTGCTTTGGATATTACATATTATAGACCTATCAGCTTAGTTAGCAATCCTTATAAGTTGATTGCTGAGGTGCTGTCAATGAGGTTAAGGAATGTGATCCATGAGGTGGTGGGGGAGTCTTAGATGGCTTTTATAGAGGGAAGGCAGATTCTGGATGGTGTGCTAGTGGCTAGTGAAGTTATTGATTCAAGAATCAAAAAGTGGGAGGATTGGAGGACATTCTTGGTATGCAAATTTGACATTGAGAAGGCTTATGATCATG